TCATTTCTCCATTTTGAGTCAAGTGAATAAACCGCTATATCACGACACCTCAAAAGGAGATATCTGACGAAATAAGAAATAAAGTATTGAAAGAATTAATCATTTATAATTGAATACAGTGTTTCAATTGTATTGAAGTGCGTATATATCTATTTTATATCTAGCTGATGAAACTTTCACTATTTTACGGCTGAATTCGTGCCATCCATTTTTTCGCCGTCGGATCTTTGTGTTCGAAAGTTCGTGTAACACGACAATCCGACCCGACGCGAATACCCGATTAAAGGTGAAATTCAAAGAAAATCACAAATATGTCAACTAATGTATCACTAGAAACTGGTAAGCTAACAGATGGCCATCGTACAAGTTTTAGGTCAACTGCATATCGGGTGATTTATAAAAAAAATACAAATACAACCACCTCCATAGCAGCTGGGATATACGAGAGATTTGCCGGAAAAATAACGATGTTTTAATGACGTCACTATATGGACCAGTACTGTCCAAGCAGACAACATCCCATAGAGAATGAACATAATTGCAAAGCTATTATTTCTCAAATTATAATGAGTTTCGTGTATATAGATGTAATGGCATGTCAAACCATTCAAAAGGGGATATGACCCGATTCTGATAACTCAAATCTTTTGCTTGTAAATACACAGGATATGGCTTAATTAACAATAAAAGAAACCAGATTTTCAAATTGAAAAAACCCCGGAATAATATTACGGACGGCATTTGTTGCCTCTTGAAACGCCGAACATACCGCGGTGTGTGCAGCTGAATATACAATGGCGTCTTATTTTGTTTACAAGCGACAGATTCCTTTATTTTTTGTATCGCTGCAATTTTCATCAAAATAAAACCATGCGCGGGGTTAAGAGTGAGGCAATAGATAACCTTGTCGAATCAAAGTTTCAACTTTGCAATAATGAAAACAAAGTTAGTTTTTAAATGAATGAATATCTACTTTAAACATAATAAGCCCTATATGTTACTGTATTTGAGGGTTCGGATAATAAATGCGGCACTTCGATCATCATGTGTATATTTTAGATGTTAAACCCTTCATAACTTACTTCGGCTCTGTGTCGTGTGGTCCACAGTTGGTCCTGTTGAGTTACTTGCAGTTAGCTCTGCAGACCGTCTCGTCCAATCCAAGTCGTTTGACATAGAGTTCTTGAAATGCCATCGACATTTAATCTTTTCAAAGTCGCACTCTCCGTCGCTAGGGCCTGTAATTAGATATAACAAATCTGATCGTTGAATCCATACTTGCTATTTAACGATTGATTATAAATAAAAACATCTTCCTTTCGCCCCGTGCACACGAGGCGTCATGTGCTTAAGCAAGCATGCAGGCACAAACCCCTGCCAGTAGTTGAATATAAAAAAATCCCTCTATACTAAGAGACTTCTGTATGGTATGAATAATGCGACTGACATAAGGAGGTTCTGCTCAAGGCTTTAGGAATTGTGGAAATGTGTCAAATATGGGTCTGTGCTTGCAGATCAAACCGACCCCGTGAATGTAAATATCCCGTTTCCCACTAATAGATTTTTCTTTAAAAGAATTATTCCTTTTACAATCATATCTTGTATGACGTCACTCTCGCCAGGTTATACCAGTCGCCAGCGCCGTCCTACGTCAGATAAACTCCCCGAATACAACGGGCTGTACATAGGACTGCGTCACAGACTACTTTTTCATTAAACGTAATGGCCCGAATACACAAAGGAGGATTGTAGACAAACCTAGGTTTATGTGCGTCATAATTATGACGCGTATTGACGTGTTTCAGACCAAGGTTTGTCTGAGCCTTAGTCTGAAACGCATCGAAAAGCGTCATATGACGCACATTAAACTAGGTTTGTCGACAAACCTCCTTTGTGAATTCGGGCCAATATATTTGGCACATGAGCATAATGCCTACTTTATTATGCGGCAACAATAAATGGAGAGCTGCCTACTAATGATGGCTTGTTCAGTACGAGATGCCATTTTGATTGTGCATCATTACCTGGGATAACAAGAAAACCTTTGAACTGAATTCAAGTAGATTGAAATCCATTTTGCACTGAGCATACATTTTTGTACGATACCATTATATACGTCAGCTAAGACCACGCCTTCATGGAAAGTAATCACAAGGCGTATATTGCCAAAGGCGGTTGACCCACGTACATGCCCGGTTTTGACACAGACGTGCCAACGGGCATTTTCAAAAATACCTTCGACTGTTCTCCTGCCGACAAAGATGTCCTTCGTCGATGATGTACTGACAGGGATGAGACGCACAATATCCGTCTCTCCGTCCTTCACGCTGAGAGTATCTCGACTACCGTAGGTCCAGTACAAGTCCCCTTCAGACCATGCCACGCCGCTACATGTAGAGGAAAGGCTCTCGAGTGTGGTCGCATCTCCTATTCTTGGTTTCATTTCGATTGTCTTCAAATATATACTTTCACACCAGTATAATCTACTTCCTAAAGCATTCGCAAAGATAATTTAAAAACAATGAAAGAAACTCAAAGGCAATAGAAACATCTCCCACCCCCTTTTTTCTTCTTCTTCACTCTATTTTGGCTCAAGACGTGCTGCAAAATGAATTATACTCATAACAAAGTTTGATGGGGCGGAATGTGCCAAAGATTGTTCCAAAACAGAGTGCACGTTGAAAGGAAGAAAAAAGGATACTTGGCGGATACAGGACACTAAACCTGAAAATTCATAATAATTGTATTGACCAGGTCATTCCTTGGTGTTACAGTAAACTCCGAATCGAAGTGGAATGCTCACATTGTAAATGTATGCCAAAAAATAGTAAGATGGTCAGTTTACTTGGGAGGCTAAATTCTTTTTAGAATGAATCCAGTCTGAAGCTTTCGTGTGTAGCAGTTATTTCACCACAACAAAACACAGTTGAAAATGTAACAGAAATTGCAAAATCGTGCTCGAAGACTAATTTTGAAAATACGTGTTTTAGCACGTAGGTCTGTGCATGAATTTCATTACGACTCTGAGCCGCTGTAACTTTAAACTTTAAAGAGGCTTGCAGTTCCCCGATAATTTTCAAAAATTCAGAACCTCGATTATTAAGATTTTACACGTTTGAATTTTCATGTAGAATGCTAATAATATTCTTCCAACTAGGATTGTAGTCAAGTCTTAAAGTGTCTGTTAGGCTAATAAGATTAAAGGATCTTACCGTCTTTGTTGAAGGCTAAATCGGGTTTAAGTGAACCCGATGAGAAAACTGTCCTTTGATTCAGGCCCTCATAGGAGCTACTTCGAAGAGCGGAACGCCCCTCTCCCCAGTAGAGAGTCCTGTTTTGTAAATGAAGAGCTTAATTTAAAAAGGTACTACATCCACTTTCGACCAAAATTGATTTTTAGATTAATACATCATCTGTTCAGAACCGGAGGGGCATTATAACATGTCGTTTCACACAGAGTTTAGGCCTTTTTATAGAGCTCCAAACGGATGAAATTTGGATCTGAAACATGGAAATCAAAATAATGCACTTTATCACAAAAAAATTAAGAATATTTCGAAAGGTCAAAATTACGTTTCATTCCAAAATGCTCCTAATCCAAATTCGTGTCATGTCAAAAGGCACTATATACAGTATGGCGATTGAGAGTTTGTTCACTTTGATATAGATCTACACATAATATACCACATTTACGATTTATGCAGATAATTATGGTGCAGTTGCCAAGTTCAGATGATCCGTTCAAAAATATTTCAACAAATAATATTTTCTTCTTTTTATATTTTGCGCAGCCATTTCGAAATGAAACTATAAAAAAAGAAAAAAAATATTGTGACATAGAATTATTGCATTTCATGTTTTAGATTAAAGGGTTGCTACAGAGGGGATCACGTTAGCTGTATGATGCTAACCATTTCCCCATTCACCTACTGAAAATCTGAGGACCAAATTCTAACCTGTTCGAGTCAGCAATGGTACAAATTTCCTATATGCGTGATCTGAGCAAGCTTGCTCTCTTTGACGATATTTCATTTTAGTTTGTTTTTTTAATTAACGACCGGATTTATTTAATTTTTTTTTCTTCAATTTCTCTTGCTTCAATCGTTTAATTCTTGAGCATTAGAGGGGTAGTTGAGTACTGTTTTCAGACCGCAAATGCCTTCAGAGTGCATGGCTATTGTTCTTATTCTTATCTATGACATTTCTAGTGCCCTTTTAGAACCTAAAATTGCTAGGAAGGTAATTTTAGACCCAAAAATGTGTGCAATTTAGACACTACGATCATACCAATTCAGCTCATCTTTCAAAAAAATACGGTGACCATTTATTAATTATTCAATTAAAAATAACAAAACATGGGCCGGCTGGTTGTGCGTAATAATTATAACCAACACGAAACTGCCAACAAAAAAGCCAACATCGGCATTGGCTGAAATACGACGTAAAAGGCGCTATTTCGTTTTTTCAATGGCATTTTCAAATAATCTAATATTTGTGGGGGTACACAAATATTAGAAATCGTTATATTTATGGATATTTCAGCCGTCTCTGAACCGATTTTGATCAAACAAATATGATTTTGTCATAGAAATCGTATGTTTTTGCAAATTAGACACTCAGTTTTTCATTATCTCACAACAAAAATATTTTGTGTAGCGCCCTCTGCAACAGAACTCAACTATCCCTTTAAGCCTTCAAACCGTCTATAAGATGAGTGTAGACCGCTTCACGCTGTATTAATGCGCTAAGGGCTTGTATATTGCGAGCGGCTATATTTTTCACCCACTTACAATTAATTTCCACCTTAAAGTTTTAATTCGGCCGCGAGATTTGTTTTCCTTTTCTTCTTCAATTTTCTTTTCATTCTTCTTCTTTTTCTTCTTATTCATCATCATCATCATCATCATTATCATCTTCTTTTTCTTCTTCCCTTCTTCACCATTTTTTCTCCTTTTCCGCCTCCTCCGTCTCCTTCTTATTTTTCTCTTTCTTCTTCTTTTCTTCTTCTTGTTGTTGTTGTTCTTCTCTTCCTTCGGAGTTTACCGCGTCTGAAATATAAACAAAACTTTAAACGTTTCAACACATGAAAGACTGGTGACCATACCTTGTAATCCTGTCTAATGTAATTCCGTTGATAGTCGTACCAGAGTACCTAGTGGCTATAATTTGAGTCCTTCCTCGTCCATCGTACGTGGCCCTCTGGATTGTCCGCATGCTTGTCCTTGTGTCGACCCAAAATATCAAGTTCTCGTTTCCGTCAATTGCGATTGCTGCAGGGCCTTTGGGGAAAATGAAATATAGCATTTAAAGCATATAGAAAAGCCTCTTTTACTAGTTAATGAAGGACGTAATTCAATGCATTACCATTTTGGTCGGTGTAGACATACCCGAAGATGAAAATCTGTTATATTTTTTATAAAGAACGAGCAGAGGTGTAGCTCATACGACATGCACCCCCTCAAAACAACAACAACAACAAAAGCGGCAGCAGCAGCAGATGCAGCAAAAAAAATAGATGAACAAGGATATCTGTGCAATTACTCACTAAATATACACGTAATGACCAAACCCTTCGAATGAACCGTAAATATAGGCCTATACTATAGAGCGTATACCTACTCTTCAAAGGCATGGTATATGACCTACTTTTGACCTTTGAATGTGAAATTCAAATTAATTCCAAGAATTAGGATTATCAAACTTGTACTATGTCCCTTTTGCAGCCAACCTCAAATTCTGTAGAACTTTGCAGGAATTATGAATATGTCATGTATGTCCTATTTGTAAAATTTAAATGTGAGCAGTGTCCTAATATTCAAATTATGCAAGGAAACCTGTTTACTTGCTAGACTTCACTGTCAGACACTATTGAGTGACTGACTGGCTTTTTTCTTCTTTGATAATAACAAGAAGTTACCAGCCTGGTAACTTCTTGATAATAACATACACAAGAGCTGTAAAGGGTATATGAGCATTTGTCTACATCAATAACCCACTTCCTGTGTGGCCAAAATTAAACTGATTGAATCTTTGCGTAGCATAAAACGTATAAGTACAATGGGCTGAAAATCAAGACTATTACGTATTGGCTCTATAGCTTCTTAGTCGATTCGACAACTAATAGTCATTATTTTCCCACTTGAAGACATTTTCAAGCCCCATCTTTTTTTAGGGAAGTTCTAAATTATCTAGTATTATCTTTCAAATGCCGTTGGAATTTAACCTTTTCATTTTTGGGCCTGCAAATGGGACATAGTACCTTTAATATACAGGTATTACCACAGGATTATTAACTACTACTATTATACTACTGAGTTATGAATACCTGATTGCTTTTCAATATTTAACGTGAATAAACATATGCAATTTATTATATTGAGTAACCAATTAGTTTCGATTTATCCATCTGTCGCTTCTTCTACTTTCTCTATCACAACTGTCTAGAACGACCATAAATGTTATTTCCATCTTAGATTAGCCTACACTTGCAAATTAATTTTAATTTTAATTTGCAATGTTGTTTCGAGTTGTATTTTTTTGGTCTCGAAATTTGAAAAATTGACATTTTGCTCTGTTGGGGGGGGGGGGGGGGGGGGTAAGGTCAACTTTTTTAGGTCAGTCATTGGTATAATTGTTTTTTTGTTTTTTGTTTAAATAAAAAATAAAAAAATTACCAAAGGAGGGGGGGGGGGTTCCTCCAAAATACACACATAAGAAATACCAAAGGGAGGGATTCAACCTCGTAACCCCCCCCCCCCCCCCTGCGTACGCGCCTGCAATCATAATCAAAATCATAATAACCACAATCGAATTCTAATTCCAATTATAATCTTTTGCTTCTTCTTGTAATTGTGATTATAATTCCAAATGATGCAATTGCTACTACAATTACAATGACGATTACAATTACATTTACAACTGCAGTAACAATAACATTTGATTATACATACTGGTGCCAGTAGCGATAACGAAGGTCGAGCTAGTGTCATCGAGTTCTGCGCGTTTTATCGCGTTATTACTGTAATCTGTCCAGAATAACATGCCGATTTCCTCATCGAAGTCGAGTCCGCCAGGGCTGCCAACGGAGATGGGTAATTGGTTGAAGTCAAAATCGGGTCCCCTGGAGAGATATATTCCAGTAGTCGTCGATACCAACACTATTCGCTCTGTAGGTAGGCCTATATCGGACAGGAAAAATCATTGATATTGTAACGAAATTTTATTACAAGTGTTTTAATTCAGACTGCTCTCGTTCTCGAACTCTTACTTAATTGTCTCTTCTAAGTCCTCGCTTAATACCTCTCTCTCACTCATGCGTGCATGTAAAAGAAATGGGACGGAAGAAATGGAGTAGTAGGATCGTGAGTTTCAGTTCCATTCGTCGTTTATTACTTCAAATAATGACAACTTGGTATACAGTCAGGTTCAGTGAATTACGAAAAAGCGGCAGAAAGGAGTACGAGGAGAAGTCTCAAGGAGTCTGAGTCAGAACTCTCAGTCAGAACTCTCGAGATTTTAGATTCCCTGGCTTTATATAATAGGGAGCTAGATTTCTACTGTTTTGTAGCAGGCCAACCTTCCAGCAAGGACACAACCCGACCTCGAGCTAAAGGGCAGAGTATGTCCTCAAACTGAGGACAAAGTCTGGCCTCCGCTCGGGGTCAGTCGGGGGCCGCACGCGACTGAGTATCTGTCCTTGCCGTTACGTAAGACGAGGACAGATTCTCTAGACGAGCGTGGCCCTGGGCTTACGCAATCGAAATTCAAAAATTACTCGAGGACGAAAAATAACGTCGTAAATCTACTGAAGGACAAGTTTGACTTTCACAGCAAGCAACAATGTAGGCCTATCAGCGAAATAATAATGAGATATATGCACATGATACAGACATATCTAAATTCGTTACAATATTAAAGTAAATTCAAGTTGATAGAAAAAGTCAAATGTGCATGGTTCGTCGCTCTGTACATGTGAAGTGGTATCAATTGACAACTTTCTCTCTCTCTCTCTCTCTCTCTCTCTCTCTCTCTCTCTCTATCTCTTTCTCTCACACTTTTATTCTTTTTATTAGGCCTTCTTTATCAGTTCATAGAATGATTAATAAAATTACATCCTTTATTCATGAAAAGAAAAAGGGAAATCACTGATACTTGAAAGGGTATTCAAATTGCTCTCGGTATAAGGAAATCAGTGTCTAATCTATATCCATTTTCCTTTAAAAAAAATATAATCCACGAATATTATCATGCTTTACATATTATACTGATCTAGAAATCACACTAACCACTATAACTCGAAGAGAAAATCATAATGATATCTTACCTCCAATTGAGGTTGCAGAAAGTACCTTTAACGGAAGACCTGTGTAAAATACAAAATAGCATGAAATAACTAGGCAAACTTGTGCACCATGTTCGTAATTATAGAATACTCTTTCTTATTTGCATCCAAAGTTGGTTGTAAGTTCATGATGTATCCATCAATCAATCTTGTAAAATGGAAGCACAGCCTTGCAAAGTTTTCTCGTTTATAAACTTCATAAATGAATTTCATATAAATTTAGTTGCCTTAGTTACATTTCATCATGTTCACTGAATTTTAAGAGCTTCCATCTTGACTAGTGTTTTCTAGTCAGTATTTTCTTCTACCGCAGAGAGGCGTATGTAAAAAAAAATGTGCACATTATAGAATTCGTCTTGACGACGAACAGAACAGAGCAAACTGTTCAAAAAGTTGAGGCTCTTCTTTTGTTTTAATTGTATTTCGTTTCAGAACTCTTGCCGAAAGAGTCAAAACATATAAAGGACTGCCTATATAGATGGAGCTTTCTTAAACTTTTATATATTTCTATACATAAACCAACTCCACCAATCCGCATCTTACCTTGCAGAATAAAGATCATCCAACAGATACGAAGAATGTTCAGTCCTTCCATGGCTCCAACTTGTCTTGATATCGGGTCAAGTTAACGCAACACACGGATTTTATACGATATTCGAGACACAAGCTTTTCGCATTGTGTTGAATTACTTCATCTCCTCAGCTGAGCTTTATTCATCAATGGAAGCTCCAGATTCTCTGGTGGAGGGAGGGAGGGGGGGGGGGGGGGTCATCAATAAAAACAAAATATCTAGGGCGGCGTCTAATAAACAGTTGTGATTGATCACAGCTCATTTGCAATCGATATCAATCGCAACTATAAAAGAGATATGAGAGACTGCAAACTTGCGATTGATAAGAGGACTTCCGATTGATCCAGATCAGTCGCAACTCTTTATAAGACGGGGCCCCCGGTGGGGTCACTCCTCCGCAGAGGGTGACGCATATGACCGTTACCACAAATGCAAATACCCCCCTATTGCGGTCAATTTCAAGGAAATTTTGTGATATTTAACCCCCTTTTTTACGTCAAAACAAGGACAAAATCGTACTTTGGAATACCCCTATTTATAAGATTGTGAGGACACTTTCGCAAATTTACCCCTATTTTACCATATTTCAAGGACAAGACTCGGCTCCGAGCATTTTTTTCCCCGGTTTTCTCTATTCCCTTTTTCTGACCCCTATTTATCAATTTCGAGGACACCTGTGCACCCCTATTTTCTATATTTCGAGGAATATTTTGTCCGCGGACATTGCTTGAAATTGACCCCTTTTTCCGCGATTTTGGTAACGGTCATGCGGTCCGGAAGTCACATTGAGTGACCCCACCGGGACGGGGCCCAGGTATGCCAAACTTTTTGCCGGGGCGTGTGCCCCTGCGCTCCCTTAGATCCGCCATTAGTTGTTCCAGGATTTTAGAACGGCTGTTTCTCCTCACTTTTTTTTCGCTTTGGGGGCGTTGCATTGGTATCATAAAGTTCAACCCTTTGGCTTAACGTTTATCTTTACTCTGAGTTTTGACCTTATGACTATAATTATTTTATCACACATTTTCTGGTATCTGAATTACTGGAGGAGAATAAAATCGGTGTAAATGAATCTTGCATGACTTTGTGGTCGACTTGTTTATGAAAAACATGATTATGGTGAAGGCATTATATAGTAATTATGTGACGGTGGCGTACAGTAGGTCCACTATATAATTGAATATCAGTGGCCCTTTCGTCACAACTGCACTAAGAAAAATTGTAAGCGGCATACAGTATACTGTATGCCGCTTACAATAGTAGAAGAAAAAGAAGTAGTAGTAGTAGTAGTAGTAGTAGTAGGAGTAGTAGTAGTAGAACGTAGTAGAAGTAGCAGAAGTAGTATAGTAGAGCTAGCAGTAGAAGTAGTAGTAGACGTAAAGCACAGTAGTAGTAGTAGTAGTAGTAGTAGTAGTAGTAGTAGTAGTAGTAGTAGTATAGTAGTAGTTGTAGTGGTAGTAGTACAGTAGCAGTAGTATAAATAGGAGTAGTAATAGTAGCAATAGAAGTAGTAGTAGTAGTAGTAGCAGTAGTAGTAGTAGTAGTAGTAGTAGTAGTAGTAGTAGTAGTAGTATAGTAGTAGTTGTAGTGGTAGTAGTAGTAGTAGTAGTAGTAGTATATAGTAGTAGTTGTAGTGGTAGTAGTACAGTAGCAGTAGTATAAATAGGAGTAGTAATAGTAGCAATAGAAGTAGCAGTAGTAGTAGTAGTAGTAGTAGTAGTAGTAGTAGTAGCAGTAGTAGTAGTAGTAGTAGTAGTAGTAGTAGTAGTAGTAGTAGTATAGTAGTAGTAGTAGTAGTCAGGCACGTAGCCGCGGTGGGGGGGGGGGGGCATGGGGGGCATGACGTCGATCAATTACATGTATGTGTCCCCCTCCCCCCCCCCACTCCCCCCCCCCCCCCAAAAAAAAAAAAACAACAAACAAACAAACAAACAAACAAACAAACAAAAAAACATCAAACTCTGGCTACGGCCCTGGTAGAAGTAGTAGTAGTAATATTTGATTCGGCATTTCAACGGGAATTCATTTCAATTGGATCGTGGCGCGTAGGTGGGAATGACCGTATAATTAGATCGTGTGTCTTTCCACCCCCTCCCCTATCCATGGCGCCGCCATTTAGTGTTCCGATGTAAGTTCGTAACATCTGATGCAAGGGTGTCGATTTGTATCCGTGGTTGGGGGGATGATAGGTGCCAAAATATTTTCGGCAATGGATCAAAGCAATCAAGAGGTAGAAGAGTGTGGCAAGTTGCACCCCTCCCAAGCGCGTAGCCAGGATTTCATTTAAGGGGGCGGTAGTGAGCACGCGAAGCGCGGTCCCTAGGGGGTTGCGTGCAGGGAGGGGGAGTTCCCCCCCCCCCCCGCGAAGCGCGGAAGCTTTGACGTTTCACTAAATTATTAGAGAAAGAAGACAATTCGTTGGACTGTTTTCGACTCTTAATCCTTGTTTGAATCAAGTTCCCCCTCCTCCGCGCATAGCGCGGAAGCTCTGACGTTTCATTAGATTATTAAAGACAGAAGACGATGCGATGTACCATTCTCAATTCTTAATCCTTGCTTGAATCAAGTTCCCCTTCCTCCGCGCATAGCGCGGAAGCTCTGACGTTACATCAGATTATTAAAGAAACAAGACGATTCGATGTACTATTCTCGACTCTTAATCCTTAATGTTTGAATCAAATTCCCCCTTCCCCGCGCGTAGCGCGGAAGCTCTGATGTTTCATTAGATGATTAAAGAAAGAAGACGATCCTATGTACCATTCTCGACTCTTAATCCTTGTCTGAATTCATTCCTGCGCGAAGCGCGGAAGCTTTTACATTAGTGAAAGAAGACGATTTGTTGTATCGTGTCCTTCATGAACGAACGAACTCAGTTTCCCGCCTACCGCGCAAAGCGCGGAAGCTTTAACGTTTCAATAAATTATTCGTAAAAGAAGACGCTTCGTTGTATCGTGTACTTTGACGTTGCATTTGATTATTACGCTGAATTCAGTTGCCCCCTAACAGCTTTGCCCTTTTCACTGAATTATTAGAGAAAGAAGACGATTCGTTGTACTGCTCTCTATATTAATCCTTGTCTGAATTCAGTTTCCCCTCTGAAAATAATTTGTGTTACAAATAAGTTGTGACATAATAATCTTTCTCCAAAAATGAAAAATCTTTTAGGAAATATCAGGAAATAAAATGAGTGAAAAAAATAAAAATAAAGATACAATGACGTGAATTTTAAAAAGGGTGAACGGAAACAACATAACAACTAGAGAACTATTTTATAAGTCATACTATTGTCCGGAAATCTTTCTCCTTGTCTCCGATCTCATCACGAAATCGTCACAGAGTTCATCTATGTTTACACTGTCCAGGATTGTCTGATGTGCATTGCAGATTGCTATTTTTGCGCTTCGCGCTTAACATTTAGCTCGTTGCTTTTTGACGCTGCGTCTTTGCATTTGGCACACTGCATTTCTATGATGCTGTTGATTGAACAAATTGAATAAATTCATCAATTCCTGATGAAGCCGTATGAGCGAGAATTCAATTTATTCTTGTCTCATATACGGTTGTCTTATTTACTTCGTATTTATGTATGTATTATGAAAATGAGATAGCAAAATGTGTATATTGATGGTCATCTTGCGAGTAATAACCATTAACTACTCTCATCGGGCTCTCATCCTTAATTTTTCTCTTCATTTTTTTTTTTTGATGGTGAATTATTGGGGGGGGGGGGATGATTGTACAGGCCATCCCCCCACCTGAAATATTGGGGGGGGGGGGGGGGATATATCCCCCCCCCCATCCCCCCCCCCCCCCCCCGGGATCGACACCCATGATCTGATGTTAGTTATTCGTGTAAAGAGGTTAGGCAGCAATAAATTGAAACGGTTGGATGAAAACAAGCATTACAAAATTCAATATTTTTCTATCAAATTACATGTATTTTGTATCACATTTTACACGTTATATATAAATATATAGTATTAAAGCGGCTCCGTATGTGGATAATTTATTTATTTATTTATTCGTATATAAATTTGTCTTCCTGATCTTGATGTTGTGCCGAATTCTAGGCCTTCATCGGAGAGGACTTGTAGCCGTCGTTCCCATTGTTAATTACAAGCATAGTTACACATGCTTTCGGGTAAAACAAACCATGCATGTCCAAAATACATCCATTCATTTAAAGGGTAGTCCTTTTCATCTCTCCATGCTTCCACTTGTTCCCTTCGCCTTTTTCCATTCTCTGTCTCTCTTTATCTCTCTCTTTCTTTTTACCATTTCTCCACTCTCGTCACCCTCCCCTTATTTCGCCTTTCCTCTCTCTCACTCTTAATCCCTTTCTTTTTCTCTCCTTTCCTCTCTCTTTCCCTCTTACTTTTTCTCTACTCTCCTCACCCGCTCTCTCTCCTTACCTCTCTCTCTCTCTCTTTAGCCCTTTCTTTTCTCTCCTTACCTCTTTCTCTCTCTCTTAATCCCTTTCTTTTCTCTCCTTACCTATTTCTCTCTCTCTTAATCCCTTTCTTTTCTCTCCTTCCCCTCTTACTTTTTCTCTACTCTCCTCACCCGCTCTCTCTCTCCTTACCTCTCTCTCTCTCTTAATCTCTTTCTTTTCTCTCCTTCCCCTCTTACTTTTTCTCTACTCTCCTCACCCTCTCTTCCATCCAATCTCACTCTGAATCCCTTTTCTTTTCTCTTTCCCCTCTCTCTCTCCCTGTTACATTTCTTCTCTCTCACGACCCTCTTCCTCCTTTCTCTCACTATTTTCTCTTTCTATTGCTCCCCTCTCCTCTCCACTATCTCTCTTCCTATATCTGCCCTTTCTCCCTCTATTTCTTTGTCTCTCCTACCCATTCCCTCCCTCTGTGTCAGTCTTCCAACTTCACCCCCCCCCCTTTCGCTCTCTGTATCTCTTTCTGTCTCTCTCACTATCTCTGTCTGTCTGTCTCTCACTCTCTCACAAATTATCAGATGTTAGCATAGTTGGATACTTGATCACAAAATAATAGGATATTGATAACAATCATACATGATGTTGAATTTATTCTGGCAAGGATATAAGGTCAGGGCATCAAACCTTTCCAGGGACACAAATTCACCCCCTACAAATTAATCCTTCTCTTATAATCTCCTAGAAGCATTCGATCAAAACATTCGATTTGATTGGGAATGCCTTCAAAAGCACCACAAATTCACTGAATTATTTGTTTACAACATAACAAATTGAAGAGGGAAAATGTCACATTAGAAGGGTTTGGCAATTTAACATAATACTATTGAAACAAAGTTATGCCCCTCGATCAAGATGTCATGCTGTCACTCTTTCATAAACAAAATTGCAAAGACTTTGAAGCAACAACCTGCAGGCAATTTCAAATACTCCACAGTATTGCTTACAGAAATGATGTTTGGATTATGTAACATAGTACTACCGTATAATGATGCCACATTTCAAAAGGTGATAAAAAACCTTGCAGAGGCTACTAAAAATTAGCTTAGGTTAATTTTGATAGCCTTTGCGATTATGTATAAGATAAACCATTTGGTCTAGTCTAATGTTACATGAATTGTGGGGGTACTTCAATGGGAACATAACACTTCAGAAGCGAATAAACACGTAGGTATACACTTCATACTCCCAATAACACATAACCCCAAATTATTTCAATGCAATACTATACTGCACAAGAGCCAAAGTTTGTTAACACTTTAGTTGCTTCTTTCACTTCTCTGCACGGTCCCTTGTTTGCAACACATGCAATTTTGCACAAAAACAAGAAGCACCTGCAACACAGAGGTTTTAATTAGCTCCATTGCAACCCTTTTAACACTGGAAACAGTTCAACACTCTTGAAGCCTTTGCTATATCGATCCCATGACAAATACAATGTGGCACAGGGAGAGTGTTTGCAAGGTAAATAAAGAATTAATGTAAACAAAAAAAAAATCATGAAATGTAGAATTTGACACAATTTCCAGAAAAAACTGTTAAATCCTTATTCTGTCTGTTCCCATTTTTCTCTACCTACGTAAGAATAGGTCAAGGTCCTATAAACATATTCCAATAATTCTCTATCACATTATCACTGCTTTGCAGTTAAGCTACATACAGACCCATTTACAATTTAAAAACACTCTTATCCCTTTGGCGACATAACGAAGGGCCTTCAAAAGATAACAAAAAAGAATTTAACAAACAAAAGTCATTATGATCTTGTGAATAGGCAGTGGAGTTTGTATCATAAATGGTATGTGATTAAAATCCAGTCATGGTACAAAGGTTCTTCCTAAAAATATAGCCTACATATGCCACCCTTGACCCAGGTGAATTGCATGGGTACCTGGTAGGAAGAAATTCCTTCATTGCTTCAGCACCTTGTCCTGGAAGTATACATTTGTGTAGAGTTTTGCTAGGAATACTTGAAGCCCCCAGCTACAGATGACATGGGCATTGACAGCAGCCAGACCAGGGGAGTGTTTCACAAAACTTGGTCATTAAAAACTGCCAAAATTCTGCAACAAAATTGCTCCCAGCCAATCCAAAGCAGTGACTTCAGTAGCCTTTAACGATCTATGTATCTTGTTGTTGAGACAAATTTAATGTTATATGGCTCTGATTGGTGTTTAAAATACACACAAATAATGCCGAAACCTTTTACTTGCCACAACTGTAAAACTGGTACATTCGATGGTATGCCACAGGTACCAAATGGCACACACAATGGGCTAATTCACAAAAGGATTGCACTGTGCTTTACAGTAGCTTCATGCAATAAACACTGGTCTCTAAAACACTCAAACTAGAAATTTTGAAATAAACGAGCTAGTATTACCATACATAATATTTCATAAAATTACCTAGTAAGTATACTATTTGGTAAAATTACTCCCACCCTTTTAGGGTTACAAATACATTATGGCCCAGGGATATTATTTGAGTGGGCATATAGAAAAGAGTCTAAATATATGTCTGCTGTAATGGACAAAAGGGAGTACTAAGTACCTCTACAATAAAGGAAATATATATATTACTTATAATATCACGCAATATACTGATACAGTCAAACCTGTCTATAGTGACCACCCAAGGGAAACACAAAAAGTGGTCTTTGTAGACAGGTTCCTTTAGTACATGTTTCAATGAGAAACAATTTTCAGGGGAAACAAAACATGTGGTCTTTATAGACAGGTGGTCTTTGTAGACAGGTGGTCACTAAAGCAGGTTTGACTGCAGTTCTAAAATCCTGCATTATGCGCTTCCTGCAGCGATGATCTGTTTGAACTCGGGCTTCAGCGATGCCCCGCCCACCAGGAAGCCATCTACGTCAGGTTGCTGTCCTATGTCACAGCAGTTACCACCATTTACTGAACCTGTGATGAAACGAAAAGATAATTTTAAGAAAATGAGAGATTAGAATTTATCTTTCATAACGATCAGAGAGACAGAAGAAATGGCTTGGACACATAATGCGGCATGATGATGGCTTGATGATCAGAGTCATAGAAGGTCCTATATATGGCAAGAAGAAGAGGGGAAGACCTTGTAGAGGAATTCTAGACGAGGTAATCTCAGAATGTGGAGCAACAGGGTATGAAACGCTTAAACGGATGGCTCAAGACCGAGGTACTTGGAGAGAAACTTGATATAGAATTTTGACTGGGTCACTGAAACTGTCATGAACTGACAGACCACTATTGATGATGAAATGTTTGTTTGATATAAGCCTGTACTCGATTTGATGAATTACAATACGAATATAGACCTTCATTGCTCATAAATCTCAGGTATCTAGGTAGTAAATAATAACATCGAAAGTTATACCGGTAATTGATAATCATTATCATGTAATGTAGCCCTTCATTCTGTTAGTTTTGCATACACTGTGGAATTATCACACTTTGCATACAAATAACCGTCTGAATTTGGCTTCCTGTTCATTCTTGCGACTCGCTCCAATGAGTCCAAGACAAAAAAGCTTTAAAGTAAATATTTTTATGTTGTCATTCTGTCCATTAGTAGAACAAGGACATTGTCATACAATACAAGTTTAGATCAAGTGGTCAAGTAATAACTCAAGTACCTGGTACTAAAGTTTCTTCACTAAAAACGAAATATAACGAAGAATTTCCGGAAATCAATAGCAACAACCTTTTCTAGAGTACCATAATCGTATTTGAAGAACAAAATACTTCAAATTTGCATATGAAATATTCACACATTTCATACAGTGCCCTTGAGTTCGTTTCTAGATATTCTTTGCATTCATATTCTTGAAATTTCAATCAATTATAAGAGCAAACAGAAAAAGGTTCAATCAGACATAAGAGATCGTCAGAATACCCACCATTGTGAGTAAGGTTAATGAGAATTGAGAGAAAATGTAGCAGAAAATAGGTGTATTGAAGATAAGTAGTGAAGAAAGAGAGAGATTGAGATAAGTAGGAAGAGGTGGAAATAAGCCTAATGACCACTGACCAGAAAAAAAGGTGAAAGATTAGAAGAAAGATACAATAACAAATTAAAGGTAAATGAGTTTTTAATATATATTCACATAAAATAAAATCAGTGCTTGATGCCAACTAACCTCCGTATACAATCCGTGTATTGGCCGCGACTGCTGCATTCACATGTTCTGTTAACCAAGAGCGCAGGTTTTGATGGACCTCCTGTGCTTGCTGTGGCGTGGCCGTCTTACCCGTCCCAATGGCCCAGACCGGCTCGTAAGCGATGACTACGTTGCCCCAGTCAGTGATCACATCTGAAATGGAATCAATCAGGTCAAATGGAATTCAAACTGGCACTTTTAGTGTACAAGTGCATGATGAATACTGCTCCACACTCTAATCTGTCTAATATGCTAACTACTCCTCCAGCTTCCAGATACCATCTGCGTTCACGGAACGATCAGACACTGTTACTGATCCCACGCACCAACACCAAGGCAGCCGAATGCTCATTCTCTTATGCTGGACCATCCATCTGGAACACTCTACCACAACACCTCCGCCTATGTAGTACAGAAGACACTTTCAAAAAGAAACTTAAAACCCAACTCTTTCTAACTTGAATCCATAATGTATGTTTTGAGTATCTAAATTTCATTTCATTCGTAATATCTTAATTACTGTTCCTTATTTGATTGTAACGATTTGTATGTTTCTTTTCTGTTGTAATAGCCCTCTGATCTGTTTTTTTGTAATAGCGCTCAATAAGAAAAAATTATTATTATAGAAAGATTTTGTTCCCACGTTTCCGTATTAAAACAACTCTGCAATCTAATTACTACTGAAAACAAAATGTATGACCCTTTTCTTCCCAAAAGCACTGGAGCCCCACCTCATAAGCAGTTGCGAATTATTCAAATCAGTTGCAACTCTGTACAGAAGAGATGGGACTTTGCAAGTACAGTATACAACTGATTGGATGGCTTGTGATCAATCCAGATCAACCACGACTCTTTATAAGACACAAATCCAAACTCTACATTTATATCTGACAGCTTCTCTTACAATGGAATGTTGCTGCTATGTCAGTATGCAAACTTATATGTCATATGAATTAGTTTTATTATGAACTACCAGCACTTGTTTCCTTTTTTGTTGTTGTAGAAGTGCCCCTTTCTAGTGAACAAGTCAATGGTCTCAAGATCAAATTAATCAGCGAATCAACAAGAGAGAATAAAAAGAGAAAAAATTGAAACAAAACAAAAAACAAACAATTTAGATCTTTAAAAAGTCAAATGAAATAGCTCAGATGACTTTTTAAATTTACATACATTAAAGAATAAAGATACACATACCGGCTAAAGCTCTCATCTGGCGATAGACTACCTCGTTGGTCTGACCCTTTTCTCTCTCATCCAGCTTCTCTCCGATGCATGCCACCACCTTGAGTTTGCAGCTGAGAGCATGGGCGACCTTCTGTGCAATCAACTGAACAGTTTACAAAGAGAGATAAAGAGATAAGGAGGTTACTGGTAAGTAGAGAATGAAAGGCCAGTGCAATAAAGTTACTATGGTAAGAGAGACCAAGAGAGATGAGGATGAATGACAGATAGAATGTTACATGTGAGAGAAGAGAGAGAGAAAGAGAGAGAGAGAAAAAAAAAAGGAGGGAGAAGTAGATAGGGGGAGGGGAGGGTGTCACATACAATCTCCAGGTACATATTTACTTCATCTGGATAAAAGTACTGGAGGCCCACCGCAGAAGGGGTTGCGATTTATTTAAATCAATTGCAACAATTGTACAGAAGAGATAGGACTTTGCAATATGCAACTGATTGGATAAAAGTGGGAAAGTGTTGTGCCAAAGGGGTTGTACAAATTTGTTTCTGCAACAATTGCTGTACTGTAATTTCATACACTCATTCCTAACCAATGCCGAATGCTGTTAGAACTGACCTCATCAGACTCTCCAAAGACATGCCTCCTCTCAGAGTGGCCCAGGATCACCCATCCTACGCCCAGGTCCTGCAGCATGGCAGGGGATGTCTCCGCCGTGAAGGCTCCTTTGGGGACCTTGTAGCAGTTCTGGGCAGCCACAAAGACTCCTGCCGGGATCTTGGAGTTCATGTAGTCGAGGTAGACAGTGGGTGGCGCAACGACAACATCTGTGGAAAGGAATGGTGACAAATGTTGATTTTTGGCGCTCAAATTTCTTTCACGTCTAGTTAGTTCTCTACGCGATACCATATTAACATCGCTTCTACCTAGCAAGATTGAAAATTTCAGTCATTATGCTTTGTATCAAGGATTTTTAGTTTTCTTCTTCATTTTTCAGGTCGTGATTAGCAAGTGATATTTTAAAACAATAAACAGTAAATTTATAACATCTTGTTTCATTTCGACTATATAGAGGAACAATTTGACCTAAACATCCCTGGTGCAATAAAATTCAATTTGCCTCTTCATATCTGAATGAAGCCTTAGTCAAGACAATCTCTTGCCATTTAACAAAAACTAGAATTTAATGCTCATGTGCCAATTTTTAGTAAATAATTTTGGCGAGTTTTGTACAGAGACTAAAAGTTTGGAGAATCAGAAGAGGAATTTTTAAAAAGTTTTTAATAACAAATCAACACATGAACTGAATAAATTGAATACCGGTATGTTCCTTGCAGGTCATAATTTGTCATTTGGCAAGTATCCTACGGGTAATTCTACAATTGTCCGGGGGGTGGGGGGACGCTAAAGGTAGGGTGTCTGATCGCGCACCCGATGTTGTGTGCTAAAATTCTTCCCATAGAGATTACACGCATCCCTATGCAGTCTACGTGCATTGCGCGACCATGCAAAAAAAGTTTTTTTTTTTCAAATCGAGATTCAAACCTTTATCTGTTGTGATCCTGAAGGTGATAATCAATGAATGAGGTGTCATATGAAAGAGCAGGTGAATTCCAATATTTCCAAAGTGGCGTAGCCCCCGAAATTCTAAAAATATCTTGGTCAAAACAGCAATTTAAACATTGTGTCCTGGCTAACTCTGAGGTTTGTCACTTTTGAGATATGACGCCCCGATTGATAAGTAGTCCCAGTCCTAAGGAACAATTCTATGTGATTATATTTTCGCTAGCCCCCAGGGATCACAACTGATCACAGTTTAAAAATACCCTTCTCGCTATTTGGTGGATCAGCTAATTAGGGGGCGTGCGCTCCGCTCAGTCCAAACCATGGTTACATCGCGTAACATCTCCGCGCACGAACGAAACCCCAAATTCAATTACACATTATAGTGACTGAAATTATGGTTGGCAATTCCCTCGATAAACCCGGAAGTGAATACACGTTATAGTCAATGGCAATATCGCGGAGACAACGTGCGTTGTCTCCGCGATATTGCCATTGACTACAACGTGTATTCACTTCCGGGTTCTACGGCGGGAATTGCCAACCATACTAGTCAATGGCACATATCGCGGAGACAGCGTGGCTCAAGCTGCAAGTCGCGCATTGGCTTAGCAACATGCGTACTATATGCATACGCTTGCATATCGCGCGATACAGCTGTTTGTCTGAATTTAGCAAAACAACATCACTCTGCGTGGACGTCTTTTTCATCGATTTTGACCAAAATGATATGAATATACCAGCGTTTTGGAGGGGCTGTAACTTTTGATAGAAACATCGGTGAGACTTGAAATTTGAAATGTATTATTCTGATAACATTTTTTATTCAAATATCAAACAAAAATGGTGAAAAACGATCCCAAATTGAAAATTGAAAAATCGTTCAGACACCTTACTAAAGGGTGATTGTCATAGGGTGTCTTTTATGGAGGGGAGGTAATTATGCTTGGGGGTAATTTTCCATGGGGTAATTGTCCTTGGGAGGGTAATTCTAGACCCTAAGGGGGTACTTTTTCAAGGGGGGGGGGGGGGGGTGTTAATTTTCCAGGGGGAGGGGGGCAATTTTCAAAGGGGTTAATCAAAGTAGTGGTCCAGTCTGCAGTGCACGAGCACCTGCAATGATTTTTCATGTATCACTATCGCTACCACAGTATCAGGACAATTACCCCCCTCCCCTCTCCCCCCCCCCAAAAAAAAAATTACCCCCAAATTAACCGTGGCAGTTCCCCCACCCCTAAAATTTAGCCTAGGACAATTACTTCCCCCTTGTCTTGACAACCAAGGATATTCCACCCGAGGACAAGTATCCCCCCCCCCCCCCCCCCCCCCCCCAGGACTGGGGGATGGGGGAGGGAGGGGGGTAACTCACTAACTGTCCACAACTACTTCTACGGTCTGGGCCTGGGGGTAATTTTCCGAGGCAATAATTGTCCTCAGGGATCATGGTTGTCCTCAGGGGGGGGGGGGGGGGGGGTAATTGCCCTGGAACCAATTTTTCCGGGCCAATGGTAGCCGCCTACCACGTCCTGCGAAAGCGAAACGTGGCCCCCGGGTCTCCGGGCGGGCGGAGAGAGTTAACAGGCACGAGCACAACCGACCCAGGCCAGTTTCACAATCACACTCACAATCGCACAGAGTCAGACCGAGACAATGCAATAATTACCGGTGTTTCCAGGAATCTGGGCTTCTTCCAGCATCTTCAGAAGTCCGTCGATTGACGCCTTGCTCCCATTCATCTTATAGTTTCCACCAACCCAGAAACGTCTTCCACTCGCCATTTTATCGATAAATTAGGACGGTTATTTGGAAGTTGAAATGTCTACAGCTCACACGCAATCACCCTTGACCTGGGATTCCCGGTCCAGTTCCGGTTTGGTTTTGCACGTACGATGTTGCCAAGTTGAAGGCAAAGCTGAGAAAATATTTAGTATTTTTCACAACACAACATCAAAGTATTGTTTCTTTTTTAAAAGTTAAATTTATGATCTCGTTTATTAAATAAGAGACAAAATTAACTTTATACATGGAATTTATGGTAGTCTATAAAAGAGTCATAGTCTTAGAACTGCTTTTGTTCCGCGGGAAAAAAAAGTTACGCAAGTCGTTTTGTAAACACGAAACAGCTGAGCACGTGCATGAGTTGACATGCACAAGGCAGGGAGATGGGAGGGAAGCATTGAGCTTAGCTGCATGCAATGCCAGTGCAGTGCGATGTATCTGAATACACGGATGCAGATAGCAGTCTAATTCTAAAGATTACTTCTACTAGGTGTTTCCATGTTTGCTTTGCAGTAGTTTGGGCAGATCTTCTAGCTCTAGTCGATCTAGAAACTTCTGAAAATGGCACCAACCTCATCAAGAAACAAGAAAGACAAGACTGCAGGCAGTGCATCAGAAGAAAAAGTAACAAAATCTGACAAAAGAACAACCAGAGCGGCAGCTGCAGTGAGTGGAAGGCGGACTAGACAGCAAAGGAAGAAAGTTGGAGAAACTGATAGTGATACAGAAGATTTTGAAGACCAAATTATTAAATCTGGCAGATCAACAACGGCAGATAGACAGAGGAATAGATCCACTCCTGATACAACTAGTACAAGTTCAAACCTGTCAAATGGAGCAGTGAAGAAGGTGTTTTGGGATCGAGTTAAATTTAATTATATTATAATTTCTATAGACAAATGAATAAGTGTCTTGTGAATTGTGTATAGTCAAAATGAACATATGAATGTGTTTTACTGTTGTTTAAAGCTGGAGTCATGATTTAGTATTTTTCATTCTAAGATTATTAAGAAAGTAAGAACGTGCATGCATGTAGACCCTAGATCTCTAGATCTAACTTAAAAAGAGGGTAAAAGGTCAATATTTCATGAGAACTAGACTATGCTGTAGCTATTAATTATTAAAGCAAAAATGCGCATATCACTATCGGACTTTTTTAACTTCATATATTTTTTCTATAGATTTTTTAGATCGATGCATGGTTTGACTGCGACATGTTAAACATCAAGTTTTACAATGAATTTAATTAATTTTGGTTGTTAGATTTTGGAGTCCTGCAATTTTTGAATTAGAGTCTAGATCTATAGATCTAAAGACTTTGGAGAGTTAATTATAAATCCAAGTTTATTAATCTTAATCTTTAACTATGTCATACATGCATATATTGAAGACATGATGACATATTCAACGGATGCAGTCAATGAATGTCAGTAACTGTTAAGTTTTGTTGATTGTGCAGTTGGAATTCTATTGTCTAAGCTTTTCATTGTGGGTATAAAAGTCACGTTGTTAAAATTCATGTTTTCTTATAAGAAAGAGAATGTTCAAGCATATACCAATCACCTTAAAATTGAAGTCTGATCCAGTTGCGAGGCCCTATTTTAAGCGAGCATGTGGGCCGGTGCTTTGTAGTCTACTCACAAGTCGATTTTATGCTGATCGAGACTGAATCTTTTTGCAGAAATATATTTGAAGCTAATATTTTGATTGTGAATAGGATCTATAGTGTTATGGAATAGAACTTCTAATGTATGAAACAAAATATCTTTGGTGATTGGGAGACTTAAACATTCATGAAATGATAAGAGAGAGAGAGAACAGAGCTACAAATTACTTCAATGCTTTGAACACTAAGGGCTTTAGAGTTCAGGTGAATTGTAATGTATGCAGCACTGCGATTATAGGAATAGATGGCCATGTCTTATTTTAGTTTCATTGATTTTTCATTGTTTTTAGCAGAAGCTGGATGTGGAGGAGAAAGAAAATGAAGAAACCATCATCATCAGAGGAAGCAGAGAGCCTGTCAGTCCCTCCATCACCCCAATGGATCTATTAAGCTCTAACATAGTTCATCGGATCTTCAGACATACCACCGGACAGAGGTTCAAACAAAGCCTGAGACAGGTAATATACATTTGAATGTTTCATATCATCTGTTAAGAGTAAAAAGGGAGTCCAAATTGGGACCCGTTTCACAATGCCTTTTTTTCAATGACAAAAAAACAGTGACAAATCTGCTGATAACCAATCACTAGCTCATGTCACTGATGACAAGTTTTTAGAAATGGGGCCCTGAGCTCTTCTGGCTTGGATCAGACGATATCTTCTATTTTATTTTTAGTTTCTTTATATTCAATTACCGTCTTGCCAGGAGGAACTAATGGCTGAAGAGAGCAGCATGATGAAGACATGGCTAGATGACATCAAGCAGTGGATGGAAATGTCTTTTGAGCAGCTAACTGAAACAGCTGAAGATGGAAAGTTGTGTAGAAATAGAATTACTTTGCCATAATCAATACTATTTACAATCAATTAGCTATACCTTATTATGCATCTTTTTTTTAGTTACTGTAATGCTTGATGATCATGGTTTCTGTCATAATACATGATTAAACACAAACATGTCTGCTGCTGCTGCAGCAACAAAAAGACATAAAAAGTGCTACGGGAAAGAAAAGGCTTGTTGTTTTTCACAGTTCCTTTTGAGACTTTGCAGGGAGATTATGTAATATGTATCATTGTTTTGTCATCAAAAGTTATTCCTGGCTTTGCTCATTTTAAAAATAGGAACTGTTATAAATTTAAATATAAAACGCTTAAGGAAAAAACAGATACAGGTAAACAAATTGTATCAAAGGGAATTGGTATTTAAAATCTGTGATGATAGAAAGTGATATTTTTGTCTTTTTTTTTCCTCTTACAGGCTACCATTCAACCATTTGTCCAACAGCTCTCAGAGTTCAGGGTTAGCCACGGAGCAAGCCCTTTTGAAAGGAGAGTGACGGCTCTTGAATGGCACCCAAAGCATCCCACAATGCTTGCTGTGGGGTCAAAGGGTGGTGACCTCATGCTGTGGGATTACAGCAAAGGGCAAGATGGATGGAATGTTGTGCAAGGAGTAAGTAATATGAAATATAGATATTAAGAAAGAGATAACAATCAGCCTCTTCTTCTTTGGAATTCGGCAGTCCATTAAAGCCTGTCTGAACTAGTTTGACCGGGGGGGGGGGGGGGGGGGGGGGGGGATAGGGGGATTATACCTCCTTGCAAGGTCACCGACAGGTGGTTATCTCATCAAATCAGCTCTCGATTAATATAAGAAAAAGGGGATCATGGGGGACCAACAGGCACAGATTAAGCATTGTTTGCCATATAGAGGGCGCAAGTAGCTATAAGTAGTGCAGTGGGGCTTAAATTGTATTATTCTATTGTATTATTTATTGAATGCAGAGTTCCAAGTATAGAAAGTGTAGAGTCTTCCCAATTTTTTTTTTTTGGGGGGGGGGTGGGGGAGGAGGGGGACACAAAATCACCCTGGAGTTTAGAATATGAGGCACAGAACTGCCTCTTGTCATGGATATCTTGGCGTCTAGAAAGTTTAAAAGGAAATGCTTTTAAATGCAAAATGAGAGGGCAGGTGTAGGTTCCAGAGGCATTTTGGTCAGTAATTATTTTTGACTTTTGCTTATCTATTCGTACTGATACTAATATTTGTATATCAATATAAATTCATTGACATCAATTCGCCATATTCCATAAGGAGGATGGCACATTGTTTTACAGTTCATATTATATTCACTAGCTGTTTTTAGCTCAACTCAAAACCATGCATTTACATCTGCCTATCTGATGTGTAGATAGGACCTGGAGGAAATATTGCCAGTCTGCTCTTCAGCAGAGACAAGCCCGATGAGATCTATTCTGCGTCCTTGGACGGACAAGTCCGTCTACAGAACTTTGAGGGCAAGATTCTCCATCTCTTTCAGAACACCATGGACTGGAGGTTAGCCAATCAGACGTGAGATGGCTGGTCATGTGACAGAAAGTTCTTTCATTTTTAAAAAAAGCAAACATGATGTTGAAAATGTTTGTCCCTGTCATTGGTGTGCTGACTGCTAGACAATTTTTTTATGCATTGGAAAGCTTGCCTTTTCTACTGAAATGTTTGAATATGGATTACATCCACATTGAACATAAATTCTGGGACAACCACCTTGGCTACCACTAACTGACTACAAGGTACCCTCACGGCCCTAGCTACTGTAACCCCTCCTCTCACCTCACTGCACCAAAGGATTACTTTCCTGTAGGACACCTATGCCCTAGTACAGGAACCCTTGGTAATCATCTAAGGAGTCATTCTCATGTTTATCAAGGAGGGGGGGGGGGGGGGGGGGGGGGGGGGGGGGGGACTGGACCAGGTTTGGTATATTTATCAGAGAGGTGGGGGAGGGGAAGGAGCATAGTCGATATTGAGTGGTAGTCCAGGGGTAGTCATTCAGATTATTGATATATTTAGATTTGTATCAGAATCTAACCTCTTGGAAAGGATATGTTTCTATAAAAATGGATCTTTCTTTTTGTCACTGACTAAAGTCATTTTTATGTTTGTTTTCTTCCCTACCCTGTCACTTCTATTTCATTCTACAATCTTCATCTAATTTTCAACCATGCACTTACCCTTACGTACATTCTTTTGCGTACACCCTTTTCTATTTTCGTTCTCGAAAATGTATTGCACTGTACTCCTTTGCTCTTCTCTTCCCAATTTTATTTATCTCTTCCCTTCTTTTGTATCTTCTTCTGTTATCTTCTCTTCTGTCTTCTGTTCTCATGTATTCTTTCCCTCTCTCTTATCTTCTCACCTCTTCCCACCACTCTTCCCCTCTACTCTCCTTCTTTTCCTTCTATTATTTCTCTCTTTCTATCACTCTGTTGGACTAAATGCATCTCTCTTCATCCCACACATTTCTCTTTTCCCCTTTTATCTTTATTTGTCCTCCGTCCCCTTAACCTTTCCATATTAAAATCTTCTCTATCTTCGCACTCCACTCATACCTATTTTTCTTTCTCTTAATTTTACCGTCAAATTCTAATCCTTGCCATTATCCTGTTCCTCCTTCTAATCCATCTATCCTTTGCTCCACCTTTGACCTTCGACCCCACCCCCTTGCATGTGTAGATTGGTAAGGGGGGCTCAGTCCAAGCACTGAGGTATGACCTTTCTGACCCCTCCTGGATATTCACTTCCTCTATCGATGGTATGGTTAGTCGTCTCAGCTTTGATGGCCAGCCAAAGAAGATTTACCTCAATACCAATGACTGGAAGTGAGTGTTTCCCTTTAAAAAAAAACTTCTTCAGTATTGACCATCAGTGGTGGATCCACAGGGGAGAGGGACACCCCCTACATCAATAACAATGACTGTAAGCGTGTTTTCCCTTATTCAAATGAACTCATACATGGCTGAGCAGAAGGGGGGGGGGGGGGGGTTGAGTAGCTGAAAAAGAGAAGCTATTATTAGAGACTGGGAGTGGGTGTTTCTCTTATATATTTGATATTAGGGTATTTTCTCAGCATTACATATTTATTTTCTGTAAACTAGCAAATAATTTGTTTTTCCTGTATTTTTGTGTCCTTTTAATAGCCACTGGTACTGTTCTGTAGATATCAACTATACAGACAATGTGCTAACAGCAGGAGATAACAACGGCAATGTGGTACTCATGTCTCGGCAAGGAGAAGAGGTAAGCCATATGCTGCTCATGCCTGTGATGATGATGATGATGATGATGATGATGATGATGATGATGATGATGATGATGATGATGATGATGATGATGATGATGATGATGATGATGATGATGATGATGATGATGATGATGATGATGATGATGATGATGATGATGATGGTAATGATGATGATGATGATGGTGATGATGATGATGATGATGATGATGATGATGGCGATAAAGATTGGGTGATGATGATGATGATGATGATGATGATGGATGATGGATGATGGATGATGGATGATGATGATGATGATGATGATGATGATGATGATGATGATGATGATGATTTGTGGTGGTGTTGATAGTGATGATTGTTATGCTGGGCCCGGTTGCATAAAACTTATCAGTGATGGTAACTTTGCCACCAATGGCAACTACCATGGTAACAGGGCTCAACAGCCAATCAAATCACGGTTTCCATGGTAGTCATTATCGATGGCAAAGCTACCATCAACGGTAAGTTTTGTGCAACAGGGCTCTGGTGATTATATTAAGAATGAACACCTTACTTTATCATTTACATCATTTTTAATTTTTGCAAACTTGCTGACTTAAAAAAATAAAAAAACATATATGAATTTGTACATGTATCAAATAAAATTGCATAATATAGTTGGTCAAGTTTTTGATCCTCACTAAAATTTCATGATGGTTTTGCAATTATTGCATGAGTATTAATGTGCTTGAACCAAATTTCCTCTCATAAATGTAAGCTAGCGATTCTTAGTTTTAAGTTCTACGTGTATAGTATCATGCCAAGGCATTTGCTGATGATATTCAGTATCTACAACACCATGGTATCAATTGATACAGTTTTCAATTCAATTCAATTCAGAACTTTATTTCAGACTCAGCTTCACAAGGCATAGGTCCATAAAACATATGTTACATAGATATATAGGGAAAAGAGCTGAGTATAAACATGATGAGTATAATAACAACAAATCTTACAAAGAGTATAACAAACTAAACTATACTACGCATTGTCCTTTTGTTTTTATATTGCTACACAATAATTCCTTGCATCTCTCTAGATGTGGAAGTACAGACTGCACAAGCAGAAGGTCACCCACTGCGAGTTCAACCGACGATGCCCCTGGCTCCTAGTGACCGCATCCACGGACAAGACGGTCAAGATGTGGGACATCAGGAACGTCTCCAGCAAAACCAGCTACGTCTACCAGATGAACCATGAAAGACCCATCAATTCAGGTTAGGACTTTAAAGCCCCACTGCACTACTTATAGCTACTTGTGCCCTCTATATAGCAAACAATGCCTAATCGGTGCCTGTTGGTCCCCCATGATCCTCTTTTTCTTATGTTAATTGAGAGCTGAGCTGATGAGATAGCCACCTGTCAGTGACCTTCATGGGTGGTCTAATCCCCTCTGGCAAAACTAGTACAGACAGGCTTTAAAGAAAAGAAGGAATGATCATGGGGGGTGGGGGTACAATGGGCCTGTCTTTTTCTCACCCTCCCTCCAAACATACACGCACACACATTTTGAAATCCAATCAGCATACTTGCACAATTCCACAATTGGCCCTTAATTTGTGTTTGTTCCTGCTTGTCCCCCTTTAGATAGTACCTGGTTATGCCTGCATGAATAATTGGTAATAGGAGCATAAGGATTGATGGATGGATTGGAATGAAAGAAAATACCATAAGCAATATTAAAAGTAGACCATTTTACAGGTGTATTCAAAATTAAGCTAAATAACGTCTCAAATCACAAGGTCTGTTTGTTTCATGTACAAGGCACATGGAAATACCTTTTATGATTAATTTCAAACCTATTTTATGTTTTCAATGTCCTGCCACTGTTCAAAGTGAATAGGCATGGAAACTTGATAGTCATATATCATCTTATCCGTAAGTATGAATCTTTGTTCACTTTCCAGCATATTTCAGTCCAGATGGGACTAAGCTCCTAACAACAGACCAGAGCATAGCCACTGAGAATCTATTCTGGTCCAATGTGGGATACACTAGAGAGAACCATCATTCATCCTCACAGGTTCTTTCAGCATCTCACACCAATCAAGGTACTACGGACTACTACTACTACTTCTACTACTAATACTCTACTACCACTACCACTACTACTACTACTTCTACTACTAATACTCTACTACCACTACCACTACTACTACTACTAATACTCTACTAATACTCTACTACCACTACAACTACTACTACTACTACTACTACTACTACTACTACTATACTACTACTTCTACTACTAATACTCTACTACCACTACAACTACTACTACTACTACTATACTATACTTCTACTACAATACTCTACTACCACTACAACTACTACTACTACTACTACTACTACTACTATATACTACTACTACTACTAATACTCTACTACCACTACAACTACTTCTACTACTACTACTTCTACTACTAATACTCTACTACCACTACAACTACTACTACTACTATACTACTACTACTATACTACTACTTCTACTACTTCTACTCTACTACCACTACAACTACTACTACTACTACTACTACTACTACTACTACTATACTACTACTTCTACTACTAATACTCTACTACCACTACAACTACTACTACTACTATACTATATACTACTACTACTACTACTAATACTCTACTACCACTACAACTACTACTACTACTACTACTACTACTACTACTATACTTCTACTACTAATACTCTACTACCACTACCACTACTACTACTACTAATACTCTACTACCCCTACAACTACTACTACTACTACTACTACTTCTACTACTATACTACTACTTCTACTACTACTACTACTACTACTACTACTACTACTACTACTACTACTACTACTACTACTATTACTACTATTACTACTATTAAAAACTACTACTACTACTTACGTCTACTACTACTTCTACTACTACTACTACTACAACTACTACTACTACTACTACTACTACTACCACCACTACCACTTCTACTACTACTTCTACTACTACTACTTCTACTATACTACTATTCTACTACTACTATTACTACTACTATACTACTACTTCTATACTACTTCTACTACTACTACTGTTGTAATATGTATATGACTCGGTGAAATGATAGAGTCTGGCAGACGATGTAATTATTGATTAGTAGCCATATTGTAAGACCATTTATTTATGTATCCTTCCGCATAGCTCGGCGTGGTATTTACATATCATATCTCATGTTAATGTAGTTCCAAGTGGATATACAACATCTCTCTCACAATAGATTTTTTAAATGAATAACCAAGAAAAGTTATAACAGTTCATCATAAAACCTCTTGAAACTCCAAACACCTGCTAGCAAACATTTTGCAAATATCAATACCTTAAAAATACTTTAACATATGCCCGACTAATTGCCAAGTAACAATTAAGGAATATGTTTATGATTCACAACTTGAGAACCCAAATTCGCAACCTTACTCTAGTTCCATAGAGTAGTCCTGTTTTGAAAAAACTAATACGTGGAATACCTAAAACCAGATGATAGAAATAAAACTATGTGGTTACATATACATCAGCAAACACATGCCTATACAGTTTTTTTTTTTTTTTTTTTTCTATATTGACATTTCCAACTTCTTATTCGCTAATCCAAACTTGGCCATTTAGAAGTAAATTGTACTTACATATATTTACAACCAAAATACTGTAATACTAGTTTGTAAGCAAAACATTGCTTCAAATTTGCTGATACAAAAAACTTTGCTGGGCAGAGCTACTGAACAACTCTATGGAAACTTTAGAACATATTCAACTTTGTTCTCATATTCTTGAAACATTTATAAAAAACTCAACACAAAACACTGTATTCAAGAAAGTTATGTTGCTTGATTATCCAACATAAAGATACCCTTGGGCACATTTCTTTACATTAGCATCATTGCATGCCATTCTATTTATTGTATGCTATTTCTCTCTTCTTTTTTTTTTTTTCTTTTTTTTTTGTTTCTATGAATTAGTAAAAAAAAAAATAAATCTCTGTTATTACCAATATATATGAAGTGTCTTTATGTGAGATTCTAACTATAAACTGGAACCTTTGTTCAATCTATATAGTCTGTCACTTTTGTGTGTTTAATTCTTCTTTCAAATTGTTTTTGGTAGTGTTTAACGATAATGGACAGGTTTATTACTAATTCATGACGATGTAGTTATTGATTAGTAGCCATATTGTAAGACCATTATTTATGTATCCTTCCGCATAGCTCGGCGTGGTATTTACATATCATATCTCATGTTAATGTAGTTCCAAGTGGATATACAACATACTTCATCTATATTGGATAATAACCGAGATTTAATTTTTTTTTTTACTAATTCATAACAACAACAACAAAAAACAGGACTACTCTATGGAACTAGAGTAAGGTTGCGAATTTGGGTTCTCAAGTTGTGAATCATAAACATATTCCTTAATTGTTACTTGGCAATTAGTCGGGCATATGTTAAAGTATTTTTAAGGTATTGATATTTGCAAAATGTTTGCTAGCAGGTGTTTGGAGTTTCAAGAGGTTTTATGATGAACTGTTATAACTTTTCTTGGTTATTCATTTTAAAAAAATCTATTGTGAGGGAGATGTTGTAATATGTTATATGACTCGGTGAAATGATAGAGTCTGGCAGACGATGTAATTATTGATTAGTAGCCATATTGTAAGACCATTTATTTATGTATCCTTCCGTATAGCTCGGCGTGGTATTTACATATCATATCTCATGTTAATGTAGTTCCAAGTGGATATACAACAACTACTACTACTACTACTACTACTACTATTACTACTACTATTACTACTACTACTACACTTTCATAATGTTGCTCTTATAATTGCTCATGCATATCTGCCAACCATTCCTATTTTGAGGGAATGATTTTCTATTTTATGGCCCTTAAGCTTTTGTTCCGAACCCTAGATTCCTCTCTTTTTCTGAAATATTCTGGGTGAAAAGTATACAAAGTAGGCTTTTTCCTAATTTTGCCGTGAAAGGTTGGCAGGTTTGAGTCATGGTGCTAAATCTTTTTTCCATTATGTTTTAAATTGCTTTATAGTTCCAATTTCATCTCGATGTTTTTGAAACTTTTGTGCGTACATTATTCTTGCAGTTGTTGACATTTAGGCCTTTTATCACATAAACACTTTGTATTTGTATTGTTGTTTTAAAACGAGTGAACTTATGAACTCTTTCATTTTTCCAAATCTCTGTCTTTCCTTTCTTCTCCCTGGCAGGCTACTGGCACACATTCCAGAACCTAATCGTAGTTGGCAGATATCCTGATGCGACCTAGAGGGATTTGAACATGACACGGTGCGATCAATAGATGCTTACGATGTCAGCTCTGGAGAGTTGGTGTGCAGGCTGATGGACCAATGTGCCACCGGCATCCAATCTGTAAGTGTCTGGGATCCTTGATGCAGAACGGTTACACGGGAGGGATGAGCAGTTAAAGGGACAGTTGAGTTCTCATTTAAGACCGCAATTAAATTGCCCTCAAAGTGCATGGTCATTGCTCTAATTCTTATTTATGACATTTCTAGTGCCTTTTAGGACATAAACAAATAACAAAACAAAAGAATATATGAACAAACAAAAAAAGAAAAAGAATATATGAACAAAATAAGAAAAAAGAATATATATGACACAAAAAAAGATTCTATAGTTTATAAACAAATTATAAAATCAAAAGAATACACAAAGTGCTGTGATAATTTTTTTCTGTTACAACAGCAAATCTCCCCCCCCCCCCTTTTCCCACCAAAAAGAACATGCTCCTGTGAACAAAATAGTAAATATTCAACTTGTTCTTGAAAGTCGTTCGATTGGATTCATGTTTGATTTGCTGGTAGGAAAATGTGATTGCATGCAATTGATTTGAATAATAAGTTTAAAGGATTTTCTCTGTCTTTTGTCCATCTAGAGATGGCCATATCACATTTTAAGATTGAATATTGCTAACAATGAAGT